TCCGGGAGAGTGCAATGTAAGGGAACTCTCCGGGATCGCAATGGTTAGCAGGGAATACCTTGCAAATTTTCACTCGCGTTTGCACTTGCGCCTCTCCACATATGCCAGGTCCTCGGTGATCGCAAAACGCCCGCCTGGTTAAGTTATCCTCCGGCTGTGGGGTCGCCGGGCTGGAGGTATAGACTATGCTCCGTAGAATGAATGGACGTTGAGGTCGGCGTTGCACCCTTTGATAAGGCGCAGAATCCAGCTGTGCTATTGCATTTGCCTTTCCCTAGCGACGCTTGGGTAAGCCAGGGGAATGGGTCGATTGAGTTTTCCGCGCAGTGAATGATGACATGTTTGTAACTGTTGCTTGTTCAATTTCTCCGACGGCCAGGAAAGCCAGGTGAAAAATGTCGGCGCTTCTGAGGTTTATCTTGGCTGTCCATACATACACATTGGGAGATGGTGTAGATGTGTAGCCGAACAGGTGCCTTGGTCAGATGAAGTATATACCACATCGAGGATAACATGTGATGCCGCTGCGGATGGAGCATGGTCGACTGAGGTTATGCCGGGTATCTTGCATCTTTGAACATTCGTGCACACTTGGCACATGTAGCACAAACTTGTCTCGGTAAGCGTTGCATAGGCATATGCGGGAGCTAATGAGAGACTGTCTTGGATGGCAGCAGTTTCGCATTGATGGACTGGCAGTGCGTGAGTGGCAGGTGTGATTAGGGCCAGCTGGTGCCATTGGCCGTAAACTAGATTGTTTCTGGGCGAATTGTCTCACCCACGCCATGACGCGACCATAAGCCCAGGTTCAGAGCAACCAATGGCTGCCAGTCGAAGGCAGTTTTGCACGCAAATGGCTGGTGGGCTAGCTGGAATCCGAGTTGCTCGTTGGGGTCAACGTATCAAGGCGCCTTTGGGTTCAAGCACGATGGCTGCGGCCCTGTGGTCGAACCAAGAGTTGCGAGAATGCCTTGCAGAGGCGCATTCGGACTTGCGGCTCGCCCATGGAGCAGCGTTTCCCCCCCGGACATGCAGGATCCTGGAAGCGTTGCCGTGCGCTTGGACCTATGCAAGATGGATGCATCGTGGAACTCTGTTCCTGATGCGAATGTGCGTCGTTCCCCATCATGCGTGCGTGCATCTTGCATCTCCAGCCGGCTATGGGCGCAGGTTGGCGCCATGCCATGCCATGCCAGATCGCCTGAATCGACCAGCTGTTGCAAAGTCCACACTGTCCTCTGCAAAAGTTCGTGGAGAAGAGGTGCCTGTTGTGCCTGTGCCGGTTCCTGCGCCTGTGGTCTGTCTGTTCTACTGCCGCATTCTGTTCTGTACTGTACAGACAGTGTCTCTCTCCGTAGCTCCGTTTCTATTTTCGGCAGCGTCAGGTCGAGGCTCCGGCCACCCTGATCGCTTGAATCCTCACGGCACTTTTTGCTAAAGGCTGCAGGCGTGGCGCTGCAGCGGAAGCGAGCCGAGGATCGATTTGGCTGCAGATTCGCAGGCGATGGTGTTTTCTGTTGGGGATGAAGCTGGATTGGCCAGCCTTTGCTCGGTGAGGAGTCGCACGCTCTGTCCAAGTGACTTCCACTTTTCACTTTCCACCTTCTACAGCAGCATGCACCACGGCTCTACCTTCCTTCCCTCAGATCGCTGCAGAGCGTCGATCCGAAGCGGGGTGTTCCGCCCAGTACGCCCTTATCGATACTGTGCAGAAGTACAGCATGTACACAAGTCTGCAGCATTTTGATGACTAAAGCCTGATAGGGTTCTTGTACCAGTACAGTCCTTAGCATTAGTAGGAGGTACATGGAACTTGGCAACTTCAATGATTAACTGAACGTGGCAATGTCAAGGTACCTAAGCTGTCACGCACGTGTCTATCCGTTCAGCCAACGCGTGTCTTCGTAGCCACAAACACATTTGAAAGATCACGACGAGCTGCCATCGCCAGGCCCAACAAAGAATCAGTGGGAAAATAAAGCTTCGCCGTAGCCTAGGAGCAATCTCCCCAGCGTTACCGAGCAGCTTCCCAAGTGCAGCTAATTCACGCCAGTACTGTACTCGTACTGCAAACTCCGCCTTGGCAAACAGCTAAACAAGTACCTGCAGAGGCTGTGCGCCTTAGCAAGCCGAGCCGGACGGTACCTTAGTAGGTATGGTAGCCTCTTCACCCACAAGGCTAACGCCCACAGCAAAGTTTTGGCCTTTTCCATGCTAATCCGGTTCTCGTTGCCAAAAGCCCATGTGATGTCACTGGCAGCGAGTAGAACCACCTCGTAGATATGGGCTGACAGCGCGTGTGCTAATCGTACAGTAGCAGCCGCATAGTACAAAGTCTACCCTCTGACGATGTGGAATACGAAGACCGGAGCAAGGCTAACATCCCAAGTGTGCTAACCGGGCAGCTTTTTAGTGGGTAGTTGAGCATCAAACTTTCAGGAACAGGCCGAGGGACAAGGCGGAAAGGCTACCAGAAGTTGGGTGTCGCGCACGTGTTTGTGCGTTTAGAAGTTTGATTATGACAAAGCCACTTGGCTTAGTGCTGCAACAGAGTTCCGCGGAAGCTGCTTGGGTATGCCGCAGTGCAAATCGACATTTTAAATTATCAATTTCCAAAAAATGGTGTTGATGTGATCTGCCCACCAGTGGCAGCGTTGTGCTGATCAGCGGAGAATGGTTTCCAGCTTGGTGTGGGCGCCACCGCTGAGCTGTTGCTACGGCCTTGTGCTTCTTCTTCACTAGAAAAAACACAGCACTCGGCGACGGCGCCCTCTTCCGAGATGGCCCGCGGCCGGCTATATGGATAAACTTGAGCTCACCTCCCCGGCCTCACGTACAGGCAATCCCTTCTGCCTTCACAGCTGGACTGCTAGCTAGCTGTTTGAACGTTGCTGGGCAAGTAAGCCCGTGACGTCGAATCGTCTAGATGCCAGCAATGTGCTGACCCTGAGTCGAGTACCTGCTTGCTCGACGCTGGGTTGAGGACCAAGTACAGAGAGAGAGGTAAGCCGGACCACTCGTATCGCGACGAAAATGGCCTTGTCTCGGCAACGCCTGAGCAGCTCAGCGGATCGGTTCGAAGGACGGTGTACATACGCAAAATGGGTTTGCTGACGGTGGCCCAGCCACTGGCATTGCCGTTCCGTTGGCAAAAGCAGCCGAAGCGCTCGAAAATGCTTCGTCGGCCGACGGCTAAGCCGCTCCCAGACTAGCACAGGCAGGCCGCAACGAGAGCCAATGGCCTGAAGTCGATGCTCATCCCGAGCTGGTGTCGGTATCTCACACGCTCGAGGCCAGCTGTCGCCCTGGACCCTTGATGCCGACAGATCAGGACGGTGCACCGCTGATGCTCGCGCTTGCAAATCCGTAATCCCAGAAGAGAGGATAGGATGGCACTCATCATGTTGCTTGCCACAATGCCACCAGGATTTCCTTCCCCTCCCTGGTGCCAAGGCAGGGACGGGAAGCTCATGGATATTAACCCCCCTCCAAAAACCTTCCCAAGAGAGAAGCGCTTGTGTCTCCCCGAAAGGCTGTCGAGTCTTAGCCTGCGCTCTCGCTAAGTCATCGCAGGGTGGCTAGCACCATTCATCGCCCGGGCCCCCCAACACAGAATCGTCTTATCTAGGCAAGATCTCTGATGCGATTGTCTAATCGTATCAACCCTAGTCTCATGTACGAGTGCTTGTACATGTACGGTAGCACCACACTCTGCATGCGCAGCAGAGCGAGGCCGCTCTCACTCTCAGACCGACAGTGCTCGTGCTTGTATACGGGGCTCACGCCCGGACACGCAACATGGTATCCGTCGTAAGAAGGGTCCGTGGATGTCAGGCCATGCCCCAATGCCCAACAAAGGGACAGACAGAGACAAGATGGACGGAGGGAAGGCGAGAAAGCGGTGGACGAGAGTCAAAAGGGAACGACGAGAGCTCTGGAAGAGCCAAGCAAGCGCCGTCAGCACTCTGGGATTTGTGGCCGGAAGCCCCGTCTGCCCGTTGTCCGTCCGTCCCCTGTCGACAAGTCCAGGTGGGCCGTAACTCTTGCTAACGACCATCGACCATCACCACTTCACCTTGGCTCCATCGAATCCTGGTGCAACGCTGATCCACCCACGCCGCGCTGGCACACCCCTCTGACCCTTGTTCGCGGCCAGGCCCTGCGTTGGACGCCCAGCTCCACCCCAAATCGCACTTGAAGTCTGTACTCGTACGCAACAAGTACCGTCCGCGCGCCATGGCCTTTTTTTTTTTTCCTGCTGCTGCTGCGGAACTCCTTCGCACCATTCGGGAGATAGCTTGTCTGCAAGCCTGCAAGCAGTGCGCGCCCAACTGTGGAGCCGGCGCCGTGGCGGAAGAGACCTGCAGATGCTGGCAGGAAGAAGGTTCGTCGATTGCTGCAGCGTTTAGGCCTCTACGGGCGAAGGATGGCAGGATATCGCCCCTAGCTAGCAGAAGCTGACTTGAGGGCGGCGAGAGAGGGCGAAAGAGGGACAGACAGACAGAGAGAGGTTGGGGAAGAGAGAGGAGAGGGGCTCCCAGCTGAGGGTGCTAGAGATGGACAGCGGACCGGCCGGGCGCTGCGCTAGAAGCGACTGGCGCCCGTATGAGGTACCTGCTGCTTGTATGGCACGAGCGTGGGAGCACAAGTACCAGCGCCGTCGATGGGAGGTAGAGGCAGCGCCAGTTGTGTTGACCCTCAGCGCGATAACGGCCCCGACGCAAGCTACAGTACAGCGGGCAGCTCCAGCGCCGAGTGCCCTGGCGAGGCCCGGGGTTAGTACATATCGTTGCAGTGATTGAAGCGGTGCGGGCGGTACGAGGCACTGTGCCGTGGAGCAGCCCGGCGGCTGGAGATGTCTGCGAGCATGTGGTGTCGGTACTGTATACCTGCAAGCGCCAATCGCACCCAGCGACGGCCTCGTACCGGTACCGGGATGCCTGCCTTGCACAGCACCAGCACGGTGATATTCCATTTGGTCAAAATCAACAGAAAATCAAATGTTGCCAGCAGCGCGAGAGCCCACACCAGGCCGAGTCGCCAATCCACAATTCGACCTAACCGCGAAGGGCTGCTTGGCTGTCCAGACCCCCCTACCGCTGGCTTCGTACGCGCCCAAGGGGGCCGGGACAGCGCTGGCAAGGCAAGGTACATGTACCGGCCGGCTGAGCGGTACCTCGTACGCACCGGCGACTGTGCCCAGCACTGTCCAGGTACATGCCGCTGCGGTGCTGGAAAGCGAAAAAGTACCCGTTGTAACCAACTGGCAGCGCTCAGTTCCAGTTCCCCACCCCGAGCTTGTGCTTGTCCACTCTGAACCTTGACTCTACCGCTATTCCCTGGCCCGTCCCAGGCCCCGTCCGTTGGTCTGCTCCCCTCAACCGCCAAAAACAAAACCGTCCCCAGCCTGGCCTGGCGACAGTCTTTTTGCTTCTCTTCCTCTTGTCTTCACGACTCCACCGACCTCCTCGTTTTTCCCTTCTCTTCCCTTGTGGTTCAGCTTCCGAGACCGAGAGGCCAGGACCAAGGTAAGTCGAGCATTGAGTCTTTGTCTTTTGTGCCTTGTCCCGTTGGCGCCGTCTTATTCCCCACTGCAGTCAGCCGACTGAGAAGAGAGAGAGAAGGTCAAGGGAAAAAAAAGAAAAAAAGAAAAAAAGAAGAAAAAAGAAGAGACATTGCCCGCCACGGCTTTCAGTCTCTACATCTTCTCTCTCGTCCGCATATCCCTCCTCTCCTGTCCTTCATTCTTCTTCCTCTTCTTTTCTTTTTCCTTCTTGCGCATCCTCCCCCCCCCGCCTCTTCTTCTTCTCTTATCCGGCATTCAACGCAGCTAATCGGTCTGCATTGCAGTAGTGGGTGACCTGACCAGGAAGCGAACAAACGTCTGCAGTTTGTTTGCACACAGCTGTGGCCCGTCCCAGAGCTTCCTCCACCCTCCAAACCGACCTTGTCCTTTCAATCGCAGCTCCCATTCCTCTCACTTTCGACGCAAAGTCATCCTTGCCCGGGCTTGGTTGCAGCGTTCTGTTGCACCGCCGTCATCACCGACTTTGCCTGATATTACCTCAGAAACTCGCTGCAAGCGCCTGCAACGATTTGGAGACACCAGTTCGGATGTTACGATTGAGACGAAACGATTGAATTTTTTTGATGCCTTGTTACGACTAAAGACACTTCTTTTACGAGTATCTCTTACTGTTGCGGAAAAGAACAAAAAAGTTTTCGCCTCGTCTTTCTCACCGTTTGCTGTCAAGCGTTTCGATCACCGCTAGATTCTCCCGAGCCTCCGTTTGGACCTTTGAGGAAAAAAACCCCCATCCGCCTCTCCCAATTGTCTTGTCATTCTTGATTGGCTTTGGACTCTTTCATTGCGAGCGTTCTTTGTTGAGTGGCTAGCGTCGATTTCCATCGCAATTTTTTTTTCATCCTGTCTTGACGAGTCTCGATTCTCGTCTGCTCCATCCTCTTCTCTTACAAAGACCAACACCGGAAAGCTGGATTTGCCACACAGTCAAGTGCAGACCCGAGGGCCTTCTGACCTCCCGTACTTGGGCTTTCACGCCGCTTCCCGCTCATCGTTTATGAGCAGCGATAGACTGCCGTCTCTCCCTCCGCCGCTGCCGTACCAGGCAGATTCTTCAAACACGTCTTCGCCCCGAGTTGGGTCCATTGCATCGTCGATTAGCTCTCATACTGGGTCTTTGTCGTCGTATACCTCTGTTTCATCGTCAAACGGCCCCAAGACCCCGTCTCCCACGCTGCCTGCCCAAGCCATCACGGGGCCGGCCACTACCATCGTCAGTTACGACGCGATGAACCAGAGTGCCGACATGTACTACGCCACACAGCACATGTCAGCTGGGCAGCCGCCCCCTCCTCAGACCGTTACTTCTGGCGGTCTGGCGCACTACTCGCAGCATCAATCTCAACTGCTCCCCCCTGGACCTTCGCCGTACTCCAACCCGGCTCCCTACAGCCAGTATGGCTACGCCAATGGCCTGACGTCCCCTCCGGCTCCTCCCCCTTCAGTATCAAATCCCATGGGCAATCCGTCAACTGTGCTGCCTTCCATCCCCGGAGTGGCAGGCCAGGCCCAGTACGTTGGATTCGACACCACGGGGCAGCAGCCTCCCCCGGGCATGAAGCCTCGCGTTACTGCCACGTTGTGGGAGGACGAGGGCAGCCTTTGTTTCCAGGTCGAGGCCCGGGGTATTTGCGTGGCTAGGCGAGAAGGTATAGTAAACCCGGCCTTTCGAGCTCTCCGTCTGAGCAGTTTTCACTAACTTGGCCTGGTGCAGACAACCACATGATTAATGGAACAAAATTGCTCAATGTCGCGGGAATGACCCGAGGTCGCCGAGATGGCATCCTGAAGAGCGAAAAGGTTCGCCACGTTGTCAAGATTGGCCCTATGCATCTCAAGGGTGTTTGGTACGTTGAGCCCTCTCTTTTCAGACGAAGCGAAGCTGTGAAAACGCTAACATGGAACTTGTCTCATCAGGATCCCCTATGAGCGCGCGTTGGATTTTGCAAACAAGGAGAAGATTACAGAAATGCTGTATCCGCTCTTTGTGCACAACATCGGCGCCCTCCTATACCACCCCAGCGCTAATCCGGGCAGGACGAGCCAGGTCATGACCGCTGCTGACCGACAAAGACGTGAGAGCGTCCCCATGCGAAACCCGCCTCCCCCTGGTCTTCCGTCCATCGGAGGGCACCACTCTCTGGCTCTGCCCGGTCCTCAGCAATCGCTTCCCTCACAGTCTGCCACCAGCCGGCCTCCGCTTGACCGGGCCTTGACCTTCCCTACGCCGCCCACGAGCGCTTCTAGCGTCATGGGAAGCATGGCAACCTCAGAAGGCTTCAACTGGCCGAACCAAGGCATGAATGGATCTCAGGGCGGTAGCTCCATGTCGATGGACGGTGGCATCAGCAGTGCGCGCTCGATGCCCAACACTCCGGCTGCAACCCCTCCCGGATCCATTCAAAGCATGCAGCCGTATCCCCCTGCTGCTCAAGGCTATGACAGCCAGCGCCAGATGTACAATGCGCCTCCCACTCAGCAGTCCCCCTACCAGAACTCGGCGCCCCCTCCTCCGGATCGCCTGTACAGCCAAGCCGCTTCTTATTCCAAGAGCGAGATGGGCCCTCCTGCTAGCCGACCACCTGCGTCCCTCCCATCCAACGATCAGCCTGAGAACAAGGGCCCCAATGGCATTGGCCCTGCCGAGCAGCAGAACCATAACCACCCAGAAGAGGAGGGTGAGCACGAGGCTGAGTATACTCACGACAGTGCTTCCTATGATCACGGTCGTGCTCCGTACAGCTACAACACTGCCGCGGGTGTGGCCTCCATGAACAATGACGCAAACATGCCATCCGAGATGGCCAACTCTCAAAGCCACCCCCCTGCTTCGGGGCGAGCTACGCCCAGGACTGCGGCGCCCCCCCAGCCCTACTACCAGCATCACAATGGCTACAACTCCCCGCAGCGTGTTCAGCAGTCAACCAGCAACTTGTACAATGTGATGACGAACGACCGGGCACCAACAAACGGCGCTCCTGGCAATGATGTATATGCACCGCCCGCCGACATGTCCAGCTCCATGTCGAACGGCTATGCCCCCCAGCCCCCGGTGATGAATGGCTCCGGTGCGGGCATGAAGAGGGGACGGGATGACGACGATGACATCGGCCGGCCCCAGGGCGATGACATGGGAAATCTGGACCTTAAGCGACGAAAGACTATGCTGGAGACAACAGTATCCGCACCTACGTACGACGCCATGAGCCGACCTGCTTCGGCTATCGCTGCTCCCCGCCGGCGGTAAGAAACAAAACACATACACAACATACGTAATCTAACCTTTTCCGCCTTGACGAGTTTCATGTTTCACTGAGTTCATGTTCTCGAGGTATTGCAGCATCTTCAGGTCAACCACGGTGGGGGGGTCAGCGGCGGCGTCATGAAATAATTTTTATTTGCAGCGATTTGTGGCACCATTTTCTCATCTTTTTTTTTTGCTTCATCTCAGTTTTTTTTTTCTCCAACGGTGTAACGACATTCCTTGCCGTGTATTGGATTTTTTTGGTTTCTTTGTACCCGCAGACGACTCATGGGCTTTCGCACCATGCCAAAGACGCGATGATGAATTCACGACTAGCCATCGATTCTATGTTACTTACGATGCCCTGTCACGGATGTACATGGCTGATGAGTGACGGCTTTTTCTGCATGGAGGAATTTAATTGCACAAAAAAGGCGGCACATGGTTGTCGCTTACTCGTTCTCTCTCATTATCCTTCCCGTGGGCTCTTTGAAGAGGCGGAGTGTTACGGGCGGTGAAAATTAGAGGATTCCTGTAATGATCTCAGGCGAGATGCGGTCGGTTACGGGAGGAGGGGCTTCTTCTCTCGTGATGTTTGGCCTTTTTTGCTATTATTTCCCTCTGCGAATTTTTTTTGCTTCTGCTTACCATTTCTTTTTCTTCATGCTTTTTGGTCTATTTGGATCGCTTTTTCTTTGCTTCTTCTCTTGCTGCTTGTTGGCTTTTGAGGATTTGTTTCTTCGCGAAAGACGTGCGGGTTTTGCTTTTGGAAATGAGAGAAGACGTCGGGGCAAGTCCTGATAATGACCTTATGACCTACCCTTGCTTTTCTCTTCTCTGGTTCTTAGCCATAAAAGCACTACAGACGGTGCATTGGATGGGTTGCGTTATTAGGTAACGAATTATGAAAACGACAATAAAAGCTATTTGAGTATACGTTGAAATCAAAAAAATAGAAGTCTTGTTTTTTTTTTTTTTAAATCAAGTTTTACTTTACCAGTCCACGATGCATACCACTGGCCCAGATTCCTTTACTTGTGTTGTCTGTCGAAACCCCTTTGTTCTAGTAGATGGCAGTTAAAGTGTTGAGATTGATGTTGAGAGGCTTGTCCCATCCAATGCCCAAGTTGATGCGGTTCGACCGTCTTGGTGGATGGCGGATGCGACAGGCCAGGAACAGCCCCGGCCACAGCGAGGCTAGCGCTCCTTTGCTCGTAATTGGCAGCGCATTCCAGGGACATCTGGACCTAGCCAGTGCCCCTTTCCAGGGCCTTCCGGGGCATGTTTGGCAACTGTGAAACTCTTGTAATGTCCCCTCACGTGAAAATCAGCGCAGAGCTAGTCCTGTTGCGGCTTAACGCGTAAAAGTTACCGGGTCAACAATGCAGCGCATAAACAACTGAAGCCCTCAATTCACTTTTATTAATAGCAGGCAGGGCCCTGGGCTGGACAAAGCAGTCGAGTCGAATCGAACTAAGAAAGTCGGTGCCAAAGTCGGCCAAGTGACACCAAAGCTTCCCATCTCCATAAACCGAAGCGCAACGCAAACGCGCACACAAACCGCCAGTCAAAAATCGAGAAAAAACCCCGAAATCAGGGGCGCAAATCAAGGGAGGATCCAGGTTGCGCAACAACCAACAACGCCGCCTTTCGCCCATCATGTCGTCTCCGCTGTCGCCGTCCGCCGATGCAATGTTGAATTCGACGTCGTCAGCGTCCAGCACCGTCAGCGACAAGTATGAGGATGCCTACGATGACATGACCAGCACGCCGACGACGGACGTTTCGCAGCCGGAGCAGTTCAGGCCGCCGTCGCGAATCAGGACCGACGATGCACGCTTTAATCAGGAAAACATTTCGCCCGCCAAATCCCGCCACAGCCGCATTATGTCAGGCACAGAGCTGTCACCGCTCAGGATTGTGGAGAGCCAGAGGAGCTCATTGGACGGCTCGCTGCTCAAGGTGAGTGGAGGCGTGCGCAGCCCACGCAAGGTGTCGCCCGATCGCCGGTTTCCTGTTAAGATCAACCTTTCGGGCGACGTGCCATCGCGACCGACATACGACACGCAGTCGCCCAGCATCGACGAGGTGGTCCAGGACGCCAACGGCCTGAAGAAGCCCATTTCCATTTACGAGGACGGCCAGCGCAGCATCCGCGAGGAGGACGAGGCGGGCATGGACGACACCGAGAGGCTGCACCGCGGCGATGCCACCGCCGGCGACGAGGACTTCACCATGGACGTCAGCACCTTTAGCGCTTTTTCCGCAGTGCCCAACATGGCCATGCTCGCAAGGCTGGGGCAGCAGACGCCCAACGGACGACGCGAGTCCTCGGCCAAGAGGGCGCACCACGCCATGGAGGACGACAGCTCCAGCCTCGCCGACTACAACGAGCGGCTCGGACGCTCTCAGAGGTCTCCCCCGGGCAGGCGAGACGTCTTGTCGCCTTCCCGGACCACGCCCAACCTGGCATCGACATTGACCCCCAGCCGCCAGCTCTCAAACCTCATCGACCTTGACAAGACGCCTAGGAGCATTCCGTCCATCACGCCGCGGGAGCTGGAGACGCTCAAGTCCGACTTTTTGTCCCAGATTTCTTCGCTCAAGGCGTCGCTGAGCGGCAAAGAGGCAGAGGTGCAGTCCCTCAAGACGGCCGTCACGGATGCCGAGAAACGAGTGGGCGAGTCGATGGAGAGGCTGCGCGAGGAACGTGGCCTCAAGGAACAGATGGAGGGCGTGCTGCGCATTGTGAGAGAAGAGATTATCGAGACGCAGAGAGAGAAGGAGGACCTGGAGCAAGAGCTGGAGGAGAGCGAGAAGCGAAGGGAGGCGTCGGAAATGATGCACCAAGAGGCAGAGAGCAAGCTGGCCGGCCTGCGCGCCGGCAGGGAGATGGAGAGAAACGCATCGCCCGAGAAGCCCAAGGACACGCGAGAGGTGGAGATTGCCGTTGAGCGAGTGGCGCGAGAGCTGCACGGCCTCTACAAGAGCAAGCACGAGACCAAGGTCGCGGCGCTCAAGAAGTCGTACGAAAACCGATGGGAGAAGAAGGTGCGGGAGCTCGAGGCCAAGATCCAGGACTTGACCATGGAGAACGAGAAGCTGAGGGCTGGCCACGACTCCACCATGACCATGGTCGACCACGCCGAGATGGAGGAGTGGAAGGCCCAGTCGGTGCGCGACAATGCCATGATCCGGGAGCTGGAGGCGGACGTCCAACGACTGGAGGCGGTCATCTCGACGGTGCGCCGCGACAATGACGAGCTGCGCGTCAACCTGCAGCAGGAGAGAGTCGAGAAGGGAGAGCTGGTGCAGCTCGCGGAGGAGCTGATGAGCATGCAGAACCTCGCTACTGCTGCTGCTGCCGCTGCCACTCCCGCGCCGCAGCGCCAACAACCCGCGCCGCCGGCGGCGCCTCAGTCGCCACCACCGCAATCATCCCTGCGCCAACCGGAGCGAAGAGACTCGGTGTCGGTGTCCAAGAAGCCGGCGCTGGAGCGATCAGACTCGGTGTCGTCCAAGGCGTCGAGAGCCAACCCGAACCGCATCTCCGTCTCCGGGCTCAGGGCGCCGGGAACGGGCCTCCGACAGCCGCACGAGCGGGGGAAGGCCAGCATCGGAGGAGGCTTGCCTCGGCCGGGTGGCGCAAGGGGCAGCGGCATCTTGAACTCTATTGAGAAGATGGGCAATTATAGAGGACGCGATTGATTTTTGGCAAATTTACGATGAAACCCGAAATTGGCCCTCCTTTTCCCCACGGGGCTGAAAAGGGAATAAAAGACAAAAGACGAACACGACGTTTACGGCCCTCTGCTTAGCATAGTGATGAAGGGGAAAAAAAAAAAAGATTTACCAATGACGGTTCTTCATTTCTTTTTTCGACTTCTTCACGCACACTCTCTTCAATGTTTTCTTTGGTTTTTTTTTAGAACCGTCTTTCTTTTAGACCGCATGGTCTTGTTTCCTACGATCACCAGTCTTCTTCTCTTCTCTTCTTTCTTTCTTTAATTAGGGTTGGATCTGGATGGCAAATGGATTGGAGAGGAAAGAATGAAATTGTATGAAAGCGTGCGCTGTTGTCTTTTTTTTCTTCTCTTAGTTGAAGAAAAAAAAAATTCCTGCACGGTTTTTTTTTGTTGCTGATGATGATATCCTGGTTGAGAGTTGCGTGTGTGAGAGAGCTGTTATGTTCACCACCCGAGGGGAGGCTTTTTGATACTTTTCATTTCTTACACTTTTCTTCTTCTTCTTCTTGATGCCCTTCCTTTTTGGGGGGTGTGAGTTTATTAATTTAGATGATGATGATTTATGCTGATGAGAATCTTATTTATTCGCTTTTTGTGCCTTTTTACTTGATGAGTGAAAAGTGCTTTTAATAAACGTTGAGCATGTGTTTGCGTTTAGGAGCGTATAAATGGTGTTTTATTATTTACAATTAGGTCAGGTAGATGGAGAGATGTCGTTTCACACATGTCATTAACAAAATAAGCCGTAAAAAACCAATCCGCTTTCATCATCACAGCCCATACGCTTGCTTAGCCGTACCCCCAAAGATCATGGCGCGATCCTCGTCGCCCAGCGAGGCCATCCAGCACATCTTCTCGACCACCTCCCTCCACTTGGGCCAGGCCTCGCCCGACTCATCGGTCAAGTCGTGCTTGTCGAAGCCGACGGCGCAGACGGGCCAGTCGCTGGCGAAGATGATGCGGGAGGGCCCAAAGGTGGCGAGGACGACGCCGAGCCAGGGCAAGGTGGACTGGAAGATGTGGGAAGGGTCCTGTTCGCGCAGGGCGGGGGTCATCTCGGCGAAGCCTCCGGAGAGCTTCATGTAGGTGCGGGCGCATTTGCCGAGGGAGAAGATGGCGGTGCGCCAGGCGGTGAAGGAGGGGTCGGAGGAGACGTTGTAGACGGTGAGGTCGGGCTTGCAGAGGTGGTCTGTTTTTTTGGGGGGGATATGTGTTAGACGAGGGCGATGCTGTGTTGTAGAGAGGGTTTTGTAAGTACTTACTGATGATAAAGGTGACCTTTTCGTCGTCGGGGACGCCGTCGTGAGCTCGGCCAATCATCTCGACGGTCTCCTCGAGCTGCTTGCGGCCTCGGCGGTGCTGGTCAATGCCCACTTCGAAGACGAAGCCGCGCTTGCCCAGATACTTGAGCCCCTCGATGAACTTGTCCTCGAGCCCGACGCCGTGCGGCTTGTCCTGGAGGAGGTACCTGAACCCCTTGACCTTGGGCCACGCCTCGCCGGCCTCCTCCTCGACCCTCGCGAGGTACTTTTCCATGATGGCCGCTCCGCAGGGCACGGGGGCCCAGGGCACAATGGCCAGGCATAGCGACTTGTCCTCTGGGGAGTGGCCTTCGCCCTCGAGGGGCGTGCCGAGGGCGACGCGCTTCAGCCAGCGGACTTCCTTGAGGGGGCCGTCCCACCCGGCCTCGGCGTCGCCCGAGGTGATTGCCTCGAGGTCGTTTTTGCGGTCCGTCTCGACGAAGATGAAGCCCAGCAGGGACGGGGCGGAGCGGGTGGCGTGCTTGAACTGGTCGACGGAGAACTGGCCGGCGAGAGGGTGGTCGGGGGTGTGCCAGGCGAGGTTGGGGTTTTCTGATTCGGGGTAGATGTGGATGTGGGCGTCGATGATGGGGAGGATGAGGCGGTCTTGGTCTTGGGAGGCCATGATATCGGTGAGGGAGAGAGTGATGTGGTCGATGTTTGGGTGTTGATGATTTTAGGGAGAGAAGAGAAGCGGTGTTGTATTGTTGGTAAGATGGAGTATAGGAAAGGAGTATGAAGGAGGAAGAGGAAGAGGAAGAGCAAGATGTGAGTGAAAAAGAGATGGAAACAAGGTGAACCGTATTAATGCAGCCGGCCACATCACGAGCTCCGTCACTCTCTCACTTCCAACCTTTTGCTATCCCAATGGAAAGCTCTCTCCCCCTTGTCCCCTTTTTTTTTATTTTACTACCCCGCCATGCTAAGAATGCAAGCTCCGAGTGGGGGGTGGCTCTCTCTTTCAGGGGTGGGTTGATTTTCTGTGATAGCGGAGGACGAATTGAAAGAAGATGTACATGCAGGAAGCAAGAGAGTGGGGGGGATGTTGGATAGTCTTGATGAAGAGGTGAAAAAAGGGTAACGGAGCCGAGATAGCTTTTTTTTTTTTTTGGGTTTGGGAGGACATTAACCCGAGGAGCCGGAGGCTATGATGGGATTGGGGTTTTTGGGTGTTATTAGTGGAGGTGAGATTTTGGAGAATGACGATGGCTAAGAAGTTGGCCGGTGGCTGATGGGGATGGTGGCGCTTGTTTTTCGGGGGCACGCTAGGAGGATTTGGTTTTGAGGCGACGGGTATTTATTGGGTGATTTGTTTGGGGGGGTTTAGGGATGAAGATGAACCGAGACTGTGGGATTGAATTGCTTGGATGGGGAGGTGGGACAACGAAGGGGATATAGCGTGTGTGCATGCTGGATTAAAGAGAAGCCGGTAGATGGACTGCCTAGATGGGGATGATGTGTGTATGATATGCCAATACGTAATTGTAGCGAGAGAATTGGTACTATAGGTATTGGTGTCGATATGGGCTGGTTTGAACACGTTAGTATTGTGTATAGTACCTAGGTAGCATCTACTTATGACATCTGATATATACACTCTACCTTGGCTTCTTTGGTGCTTCTTCTTCTTCTTCCATCCATCCATCCATCCCTCTCTCCCTCACAGTGAATTCTCAAGCTCAACCAGCCCTCCCACCGCCACGTCCACCTCGCCATCCAGCTTGGCCGCGTCCACGGTGCTCCCCAACGGCCTCCTGCTCCGGCCGCCGCCGTACCCGTAGTACTTTTGCAGCGCCGCCTTGATGCCCGCGATGCCCAGCTGGACCAGCGCCCAGTCGGCCCTGCTGAAGCGCGTCTGCAGCTCCTGGGCCTCCCTGAGCTTGCCCTCGTCGTACAGCCGCAGCATGTGCATGTGCGTCTTGGGCAGCAGGTTGGCCGTGGCGGCAATGACGCCGTGCGAGCCGCCGACCAGGCCGTGCAGGAACCAGTCCGTCTTGCCGGCAAAGGCGGCAAAGGGCCGGCCGATGCGCGGGTCGTGGGCGATGCGCTGCAGCTTGCCCATGTTGCCGCAGGTGAGCTTGACGCCGACAATGTTGGGGTTGGCGACGGCGAGGTTGATGATCATGTCCGAGTCGAGGTCGATGCCGCCGGTGACGGCGGGGAAGTTGTAGATGACGATGGGGATGGGCGAGGCGGAGGCGACGTCGTTGAAGAAGTTGAAGATGACGGGCTTCTGCATTGCGCCGACTGAGTGATGGCGATGATGGCGGCTTCGTCAGCATTCATACGATTCATTCTCTACTCTCGTCCAATCGTCCATCGACTCACCCCAGTAGCTCGGCGACAGCACCAGCGCATAGTCGGCGCCCGCCTCCTTGGCCTCGCGGCACAGCTGGATCGTCTCCCTCGTGCTCTGGACGCCGCAGCCCGCCACGATGACGGACCCAGGCTTGCCGTGCTCGTCCAGGACCTCCCTGGCCAGCCGCAGCACCTGCTGCCGCTCGTCGTGCAGCATGTGCATGGCCTCTCCGTTGGAGCCCTGGATGACGAGCCCGTCGACGCCGCCCTTGGCCAGGCGCGTGAGATGCGCTCGGATTGCGTCAAAGTCGAGTGTCTCGTCGGGGTTGAAGAATGCCACGGCGGGGACGTAGATGCCGCGGGGCGGGCACGGAATTGCTGCGGCCATGGTGTTTGTGCGGTCTGTGTCTGCGTCTGTGATGTTCAGATTGGCTTTTGACTTTGTCTTTCCCCTGGCCTGGACGACGACGACTCGATACCTTATACTCTTTTTTCTTTTCTTTTTGCTGTAGTGACAATCAAGATATCGGGAATCAAAGAGTCAATTCGTCGGGATATTCAATCAAGCTCCCCCTCGGCTTAAGACATGCCACCATGTCCCGCCCGATTGCGGAGACCATGCCGCCTTGTAAGTGCTAAACCACACCATCTTTCCCCCTCCAGCCAGCATTGCGCCTGTAAATAGCGGATTTTTATCCTGCTCAGCTTGCCGAGCAAGAGTGTGAATGGCTCATCTTTCTGCCGCTCCAATTACCACATAGTAATGGGCATCTGCGCCTATGAGCGTGAAGCAATCGCGCCTTTTCTGGTCGTCGTTGTAGACTGTACATGCGCTTTGTACCCCGCCGACGGAGGCGGAGGCTCGAGTTCCGTCTGCTGTTGCAAGTGTGAGGGCAGACGGATTTAGTGGGCGTCGTAGACGATGGTTGTAGGGACGATGGATGAAAAAAGAAGCTGTCGAGGATGGAATAGCTGGGTTGAGTTTCGTCCAACGGAGATGTCGGACAGCCCTCAAGGCATCGACACACAGAGTGCATAAGGGCACACACACACACACACACGATAAAACCACGTGCTGCGGCATGTGCTTTCAACAGTTGTCAATCCTGCCATGTGCCGACGCCATCTGCCTTCGAGTTAGAAACATGCCGCAGCATTCCTTTGGTACTTGAAACCCGCCCAGAAGCATCGGCGATGATTAAAAGTTGACGCTCTCACTATTAACAGCGCTCTCCTCGTAACGGCATAGACTGCGGACATAACGCAAAATAGGCTAGACCCCTTGAAGCGCCGGTAGGGCCAGCCGAGATGCGGGGCCGTTGAGGTTTATCGGTCGAGGGTTTAAACGCCGAAAGGGTGCATGTATGATGGCGATAAGGCGCCCACGATTCGGGGATGCTTCTCAACACCAACGTTTCGGGGCGGCGATGCTGAGATTGGCTGTGACGTTGTAGATGGAATGGGATGGAGATTGTTTGTTTGTAAAGCCGATGATGGCGGTTTGCTGTGACGAGATGGATAGATAAAAGGCCATGAGCTGGCACTGTTGTGCATGGCTCTTTGTTCAGCATCATCAAGCAACTTGAGCATCACTTACAACAACAGCTCTCAAAGCATCTCTGCACATATACCAACAAAACACTTTTACAAATCCAAACAAAAAAACCAAAACAAACACCAACACCAAAAATGGCCATCCAACCCGTCTGGTTCATCACCGCCGCCTCCTCTGGCTTCGGCAAGGCCATCGCCCTCTCCGCCCTCCGCCGCGGCCACACCGTCATCGCCACCGCCCGCAGCACATCGCGCATCCAAGATCTCGCCACCGCGGGCGCTCACACGCTGGCCCTTGACGTGACCTCTCCCCTCTCCACCATCGAGGGCGTCGCCAAGCAGGTCTTTGCCGAGCACGGCCGCGTCGACTACCTCATCAACGCCGCCGGCTACATCCTCGAGGGCTCCATCGAGGAGGTCAGCCCCGAGGAGGTCTACGACAGCTTCAACACAAACGTCTTTGGCACCATGAACACCGTCCGCGCGTTTCTGCCGCACATGCGCGCGCAGCCCCTGGCGGATAACGGCGTCCGTGGAGTTGTCGCCACGTTTGGGAGCTTGGGTAGTTGGCGCGGCGTGGCGGGGATGGGAGTTTACGCCATGACAAAGTGGTGCTGCTCTGCGCTGGGCGAGACGTTGGCTGGCGAGCTCGAGCCGTTCCAGATCAAGGCGACGGTGATTGAGCCGGGTTACTTCCGCACTGGGTTCTTGAACCCGGGCGCGAGGGTTTCGTCAAAGGCTAGGGTTGGTGCGTATGAGGATGAGAACACGCCGACGGGCCAGGCGAGGAGGGCCCTCGTGAAGACGGATGGGAATCAGCCTGGCGACGTGAACAAGGGCGCGGAGGTGGTTGTCGATGTGCTGTCGAGCACGGGGGTTGCGAGCGGCAAGGAGCTGCCCGTGAGGGTGATGCTCGGTAGTGACACGGAGGGGGTTGTTAGGGATAAGTTTGCGAGCACCATGGGGATTCTCGATGAGTGGAAGGAGGTTATTCGGAGCACTGACGCTCCTCTCAACTGAGGTGTTTGGATTGAGGAGGGAGAGGAGGTGCTTGGTCTTTCTGTTGGCATCATGGCTTAAGCGTTGGATGGTAAGATACAGCATATACCTATAGTAGTATATAAAATGCAGTCTTTTCCGTACTAATCTACATGTGTCTGGTGGTAGAATTTATCCTGCATGTTCATTCATAACCCAGTTTCATCCATATCCGATTCCCTGTGCAGTCAAAAGGTCCCATCATTTCCACATAATCTCTAGTAGTCATGCCGAATACAAACAGAATAATGGTTAAAATAAATAAATAAATAAATAAATAAAAAAACTCCACGCTCGTGAACCTTCTTTTTAGAGACCCAATGCGCCCCGTAGAATCTGCATAAACTTCCAAACGTCCTCGAACCGGCTGTACAGCGGCACCGGCGCCACCCGCAGCACGTCCGGCTTCCGCTTGTCGCACATGACGCCGTTCTGCTCGAGGGCCTGGGCAATGTCGTCCAAGAGGCCCTCCCGCAAGAGGACACTCAGCTGCGTGCCGCGCTGGGCGGGGTCTCGCGGCGTGATGATCTTGAACAAGGGCTTGGCGGCGTCGGCGTCGGCGTTGATCTGGTCCAGCAGGTGCTCTGCGTAGGCGGTCAGGACGAGGGCCTTGGACCGGAGGTCGCGCATGCTCGTCTTGTTGAAGACGGACAGGGCGGCGGCGACGCTGGCCAGGTCGAGGGCGGAAGGGTTGGACACTTGGTATCCGGCGGCGCCCGGCGTGGGCACAAAGGTGTTGGCCATGTTGAAGCGCACGCGCTTGTCGCCGCCGTACCAGCCGGACAGGCGCGGGCGGTAGCTGGGCTTCTCCGCGTTGTCGACAAAGTCCACCTTGCCGTAGCGCTCGTGCACAAAGGCGCCCGCGGTGGCTCCGGGCCCGGCGTTGATGTACTTGTAGGTGCACCAGCAGGCAAAGTCGACGTCCCAGTCGTGCAGCCTGAGCTCGACGTTGCCGGCGGCGTGGGCGAGGTCCCAGCCGACGACGATGCCTCGCTCCCTGGCGTAGGCGGTGATGCGCGGCATGTCGAACAGCTGGCCCGACCAGTACTGGATGCCCGGCAGCAGCAGCAGCGCGGTCGAGTCGGCGTGGGCGTCGATGGTGGCGAGCACCTTTTCCGTGGGGATCAGATAGTCGTCGTCGGGCTCGATCTTGACCATGCTCTCCTCGGGGTTCAGCCCGTGCCAGACGATCTGGCTCTCGATGGCGTAGTGGTCGCTGGGGAAGGGCTTCCACTCCAGGATGACCTTGTGCCGCTTCGCGTCGGGCTTGTAGAAGCTGGCCATCATCATGTGCAGGTTGACCGTCAGCGTGCCCATGTAGACGATTTCGCCGGGCGAGGCGCCCACCAGATCGGCCGACTTGTTGGCGCAGTCCTCGGCCATGTCCTGCCACTGCACCAGCGGCGACTGGCCCATGTCGGTGAAGTGGCCGTTGACGCCCAGTGATGCCCACGTCTCGAGCTGGGCGTGGACATGGTCGCGGACGGCCTTGGGTTGCGCGCCCAGCGAGTTTCCGACAAAGTAGATGCCCTGCTCGGTCCCGGTTTCGCTCTCGCCGTTGACGCCGTTGGTGCCGTTGACGGCGCTCTTGGCTTCACCTGCGGTACATGATTAGCATCTCGTCAATCGAGTCTTTATGTCAAACGCATAAAAAGCAGAAGCAGTGAGATGTTGATGAGATGAGATGAGATGAGTGAGTGTTCAATGGCTTTGATGCTTATGCCCGAGCTCAACTTGGGTAACCCCAAGGCACCCCGTGCAATTCTGCTGCTTACCAGGAATCGAGCCGTCCAGCGCCCGCTTCTTCAACGAGGCCTTTGTCGGCAGGATAAACTCATCGCGAAGATGCCGCAGCGAGTCCTGGCTGTCGAGCTTCTGCGCAAACTGCAGCGAGTTTGCGTCCGCGGGGAACTTGGGAGGGGCGCCGCTGCGAAGCCGCTCTACGAATGCCGGCAAGTCCATTTTGCTATTGTTGTAGCTATTGTTGCAGCTATTGTTGCTATTGTTGCCGCCGATGCTATTGTTGGTGACGTTGCCGCTAATGATTGCTCTGCTCCGGCCTCTGAATGAAACCAACGCACGCCGATTCAATACTCTTGTTGTTGGCGGGTGCAGCTTGGCGAGGACGTGAAGGGGCATTGTCTTTTTTCTCTGCGTTTTTTGGTAACCACGCTTCACACTTTATCTTCCCCAGGGTCCAAAGATAGAAGCGCTTGTCCCGCTCCGATCCGCGTCCTGCCGGTAACAAAACGCTTCATTTATCGATTACGGGGGAGAAAAAAGGGCGCCGATTAAGAGGGTTGCAGTCCGTGGTTCCGCATTCCGAGATCCCGCCATCCGAAGTTCCGTGTCCGATTTGCCGCGCCAACGATTTACGATACTATCTGAACACAACAACTTGCGACACCGGCGAATCAAAGAGACGCACGGACAGTTAAACTTGCTGCTTTGGGTTATTTTGTGCTTTACACGTGACTAAACTGAAGTTGTTGCCAAAGTGCTTCCGCATCGACTGTCACATTTGCTGTGGTTTATGACGCGGACTTGTGTCATGTAAGTCAAATGACATGTACAGTAATGCACACACTCTGGGCCAACAAGTGCTTATTCTAACCTTGGCTTCATCTCAAACTGTATCTCAAGTATTATTTCATCTAAATTTGGGATTTGGTTGGGTTCATGGCGATGCTATTTCTTCATGTCCGTGCTGTGCTCTCGTGCTAGCGAATGAATGTAAAGGGCCACCTCATCTAAAAACAATGTCCATATTCAAGAGCCTCATTGCTCTAAATAGATCTAGTCAACTGTCAGTGCTCTTTCCGGTCGGTGTGAAAGCCGAAACTACCCCTTGACAGCTCCCGCTGCCATGGCGCTAGTTCTGTATTGATGGGAACACGGATCTTCGGATGCAGACGGATCGAAGGATAGGAAACCATCTCCCTTCCCGATTCGCGATCCAGCTCTCTCCTATTGTTCGACTAGTTGCTGAATTATGCCCCGTGCTCCGTGCAATGGATCGCGCTTATGACGAATCTTGGCAGAGAAAACGATTACCTTTGAAACGCTCCGAGTGTCCACATGGCGTGATGTTTCCTTTCTCTTTCTCTTCATCCGCTAGGGGACTATTGATCCCAACACCCTAACTTCCCCGAGCAGGATCATATAATACCGTGCTCGCTCGGTCCCAGAAGCCAGGGCCTCAGCCGAGAGGGCACACGAGAAAGCGAAAAAAGAAAAAAAAAAACTCTTCATCTCTTTTCGATTGCTCCATATCATCCACCAACAGGTCACGACAGACAACGACAGAGATACTGTTTCAAACCATCAGTATCCGTCATGTCTCCCCACGCTATTCGTCCAGAGGCACTGGGCCAAGAGCAGACAGACCTGTCCAAATATGCCGTCTCAAGAAACGCCTTTCTCCCCGAAGACAGCCCCCCAAAGATGTTATCGGATCCGTACTATGAGCCGTGGGAACTTGTCGCTCACAATCTGCCAGAGCTGATCCAGGCTGGCCGTATCCACGACGCCATCAGGGAACTTCCGATCCTATCAACTGACGGCTTCAAATCCGAAGCTGAATGGCGGAGAGCCTATGTCATCCTGTCTTTCTTCGCACACGCATACATCTGGGGCGGAGATGTCCCCGAACAGGTATGATTGCTGCCCTGCACAATCTTTGGTCGAGACTTGCATGTATGCTGACATGAGATTCTTGCCAGATCCTGCCACCTTCAGTGACCGTTCCGTATCTCCGTGTCTCCGCTCATCTTGAGCTGCCCCCTACCTTGACCTATGCCGGCGCCAATCTTTGGAACTTTGCCTGCGACGGAGAGGACTTTACCAACCCAGAGACGCTCAGTACTTTGTTGTCCTTTACCGGAACCGAATCCGAGTCCTGGTTTCTGCTCATCAGCGTTGCCATGGAGGCCAAGGCCTCTTCCATCATTCCCATCATGACTCGCGCTATCGAAGCGATCAAGACCCACGACTATCAGGTCATCATCAAAGCATTGGAAGCGCTGAAATCACACATCGAAGAGGTTGGGGTTCTCCTGGAGAGAATGCACGAGCGCTGCGATCCCATGACCTTCTATCACCGGATCAGGCCATTCCTTGCCGGTAGCATGAACATGGAGGCCGCTGGCCTGCCCAACGGTGTCTTTTACGACGAAGGAAACGGAAAAGGCGAGTGGAGGAAGCTCAGGGGCGGAAGCAATGGCCAGAGCTCACTCATTGCGTTTTGGGACATTGTCCTCGGCGTCATTCACAACGGCCACTCAGATAGCAAGAGGAGCTTCCATGAAGAGGCCAGAGATTACATGCCGGGCCCTCATGCGAGATTCCTGGTGCACGTGGCTCGCCTGGGCAGCATCCGCAAGCTTGCACTTGATCTTGAAGATCCTCTGCAGGAAGAAGAGCACCTCCTGAGGGCGGCTTATACGTCTGCAGTGGAGACTTTTACTGCGTTCCGACAGAAGCACATCAACATCGTGACGAGATACATCCTCATCCCCTCCAAGCAGCCGTGGACCGGATCGACTCGCGTGAATCTGGCAAGTTCGTCAACGGAAAAGGGGGGAGAGGGACTTACGGGCACCGGAGGCTCCCAGCTCTTCCCGTTTCTGAAGCAGTCGAGAGACGAGACTAGTGTTGCGGGCAAGCTTGAGACTTCGAAGCCGTGAAAGTCGGCTCGGGAATTGGATATTTCGACAATGCATAGACACGGACAGGCGTTTTGGGTATTATGATTTGATGTTTTCTTTTCTTACGGGCGGGTCAGCAATGGGTAGTTATGATTTGGAATATTGGTGCCTTACTGAGTAAGAGGATACAGGTACATGTATACAAGCGATTGATGAGGTTGGAATAGAGTTGTCACGATCATGAGAGATGAAGCGAGGGGTACTGGATATAGAGGGATGATGTAATCCATGTATACACAAAGGAGTGAAGATACCTATTCGAATATATCATACTGATAGTCTATACCTGGTATAGTAGTCGACTAAGAGAATCCAACACCTCTCCCCCAATATCATGCAGGCATCAGCGCATCAACACGAGACCAATGACGAGTCCTCCATACATGTACTACCAAGTTCAATCTGGCCTATGAGTCAGTGGGAATGAACCGAAGCCCCTCAGTGGCGCTGCTGCTGCAAAAGACTCATACGATGCCCCATGTGGAGCTGCTAGCATTTTCTCGGTTGCATCGTGCGTCTCGTGATCGATTGCTACTCTGAAGAAAAAAAAGAAAGAAAGAAAAAAGAAAAAAAAAAAAAAAAAAAACCAAGCACAAGTAAGTAAACGCAAAAGACAGCGTAGGCCGTCATCCAGAGGCTGCCCGATATGCACGTCACGCATCCTATGAGAGGGCAATCTGCAGTCCAAAGTGGCGCTCCCAGCTGTGGAGGTGCCATGCCCCGCCCAAAGCAAAGTTACAGGCGCCGTTAGTGCTCAAATGCGCTGTGAGCTGCTGCACAACAGCGCCCAGCACCGCGCTAGCCCGCCAATTAGCGGTTCGCCAACGCCTAAAACACAAAGAGCGGTGACGATTGTCGGTTTTTTTTGCACTTGATTTGCATCGCGGCATCTGGTCCCAGGTTCGGGCCCAGACGGGCTTAGCCTTCTCCCCCTTCGCTGCCTCCCTGCGAATCAGATCGATTACAGACCCCACACATTGGATTGGTCCAAGAAGAAAAAAAAAAAAGTTTGGGATTGCAAGTTCTGGCAAGAGGTACCTGGTACAATGTACTTGTCGCGGGGCCTTCAAAACTTTTTTTTTTCCCATTCGATTCTCCTCCTCCCCTTTGCTGCATCATCAGCAATCAGCTTCAAGCCCAGACAACGAAGTCGCCCTATAGCCCAGGATTCCAACCCTCAGAGCACCCCCCCAGTCAGAAACTTCGTCGAGCCACAATGCCTTCGGCCGTCGCTGAGCTGTAAACGCCCACTGCGGGCCGTGCCCATCACGGCTCGCAGTCCAGCAGTTCAACGAGCCCAAATCAACCAATTCGTCGACGATAGTTTTTCAACAGGCTTTTCCCCCCGCTGTCGAGCTCGAATGCTCTTCCAAAGCCCGTCTCTGAATCACAAATCCTGCCAGTTGCCCGCTTTGATAGGGCCTTCAACGTCTCAATTGCTGCAAAAAAAAAAAGTTTTCAACAAAACCCCATTTTGACAGCTATCACATCTCTCCTTCCCCCCCTTCCGCCCCTACCACCACTACTACTACGACAAACAAACCTTTACTTTCGACCCCCCCAATACCCCCCCAACTACTTTTACTCGAATCAAAAGTTCAGCAGCAAGCATTGAAAAGCTATAGACCACATTTGTACTGGATCGACTTGTTCAACCTTTTATTGTTTCAGGAGAAAGAAGAAGAAAAAAAGGCTCTTTATCACGGCTAAAGTGCCATCAATTACCGGCAGGAGAGAATTTCCTTTATTCAAAAAGTTTATATGATTACGGGACTACACAAAATGTCTCGCAACATTCGTCAAAAGTACCCCGCAACTGCGGCCAAAGCTCAAAAGCGTCGCCGTGGTTCGGACACATCATCGTCCCTTGACCTCTCCGACGAGGAGGGCTACTCAGCCGTCGAAGACATTAGTGACTCCGAAGACAACGATGAGGAGGATGTAACGGCGGTCGAGGAGGCAATCATAGTCACAGAGGGCAGATCCCCTTCCTCTCACGCTCCTCGACCGCAGCCGGATGAAGAAGAAGAAGAAGAAGAAGAAGACGGTGACGAAGACGATGCTGAAGAGGAAGCCGAGGATGAAGACGATGATGCGGATGACCTCCCCGATGATGGGGATGCTGATGATGCAAGCTGGGCCGGCATCTTGTCCGACGTCGACGACGGCAATGCATCCGATTTCTACCATGATTCCAACGCTTTTGCTTCAGATCCCATTATAGAGCGCCATGTTCGCTTTGATGTGCCGGACAGCGACTCTGATTCCACCGAAACAGAAGATGACCACGCCGATCTATTCCCCGATATTTTTGTCTCGCAAAACTCACTCGATCCCTCGTTCCGCAAAGAGCTTGAACATGACCCTGATGAATCGTCTGGCTCCAATTCCTTTTGGGACTACCATGGCCAGTATGAGGAAGGGGGGGAAGAAGAAGAAGATTCCGAATCAGACGCCGAGGAAGTGGTTCGACAACTCTCCGATGACGAAACTTCACCTACCGCCATGCCCACTCCTAGCGCTGCTAGTGTGGTTGAAAATTTTACTCCCACCTTTGAAGAGTCTCTAGAACTGGATGGTTACGAGTGTGAGTCTCATCATTACACGAGGTGGAAACTGGCTTGCCCCCGTACCTTGTTGCTAACATTGATGGCTCAGCTGATGGCGACACAACTGATGAAGAGGACATTCCTGAACCTGTCATCCGCAAGAGGACTCGACGCCAGTCCAATACAATGAGCGATGAAGCATCAGATTCGGAGGCAGACTCGCCTGTCAAACCAGAGCGTGGCCAGCCTCGCGTGGGCCGCTTCAACCTAGACCGGTCTGACAAGAAGCCCATTGCTGTTCTCAACCCCCTGACGCGCAAGATGATGATCTTCACACCCCATCGACGACGGCAGCTGGACCTGTCGCCTGAGCAGTTCAACTTCCCCTGGGCCATCGAGGATCAATCGTCGCCGCTGCTTAGCAACTCGGCCAACATGATGCTCAGCGCCATGTTTTCTTCCAACACCTTTGGCGACTTTATCAATGCTCAAGCCATGGGTCCCGCCGAGGCTTTCTTCCCGTTCCAATCCACGGCCAACGGCGATGATAGCTCAACATCCCCTAGCATGGAGGACGAGGACGAAGACGAAGACGACGAAGAGAAGCTCAACATCAACGACTTCATTACATTTGGTGAAGCCGATGATGACGAGTCGTCAGGTGACGAAGGAAACGACGACAATTGGGGCGCATCACCCAAGCGCCCAACCACTGCATCTGGCGAGATCCTGTCCCATCTCAACTCGGATACTGTTGGCGCCTTCCGCCGCAATCAAATCAACCAACAGCTGATTCTGAGCAACCAAGCGACCCAAGATTCGCTAGCCTTCAGCGGGCCGTACAACTACACCGCCCTTCGGGGTCTCAAGTCGGATCGCTTTGACACTGCGGCTGTCCCCCTAACTCCCATCAGACGGCACAAGAAGCAGCTGAGTGACCGCGCTCCTCCCGAATCAACCTCCACGAAGCGCAAGGCTACGGGCGAGGCCAACGGAAGCAACCACAAGAGACACCGAAGCATCTCTTCGGATGTCAACTTCCTACGGATATGAATGCGTATCAGAGGCTAGCTTTGGCAAACAAGGCAATCAAATACGACCGAGGACGGTGCACAGACGTGCCCCTGGCCTCAATACTTGACACATTCTTTTTCGGCATCTACATCAAAGCATTTCCTTTCCTTTTATTTTCTTTTTGAACAACTCGAACCAAGACACGACGTTTCCTTCACAGCGTTTACGAAGGTTGACGTTTTCTCCGCCTGGTATTAGACGGCGTAGGCAGGATGTGTGGCCTAGGAAACAAGCTTTGTTGCGGTCGGGCTACTAAACATGGTTACAGGAGAATCTCTGTGGGAACAAAAGCATTAGAGGTTTCACGTTTACTCAAAAGTTTTTCTTTGTGTGTGTGCTACCCAAGGGCCATGCACGGCTTGGGGTGTTAATGCCGCGAACCAATGACTTAATGCCAATCGACGATGGCTGATGTGAAGATGAGTCCGTTGCCTCATTTGAACTACGACTGTCTCTTTGTATTTAGCATTTTCCTTTTTGTTTCTTTTGCTTCGTTTCTGTATTCTTGCTGCCGTTTCTGAGAGTGTATGTACGAATTGAATTGAAACAGTTGAAATTACCTTTTCCTGCATTTACATTCTCTGTGCGTGTGCGTGTGTGCGTATGTCTCTCGCTTACCCTTGTAATGTGTAACGATGAAAAAGGTAGGCACAGGGATCGATCTCACTGAAGCCAAGAATGTAAAGTCTCAATCCCCGGCAAAAAGTGAAAAAAGGATAGCAGGGGTGAAGCCGATCTCATGCAGCGAGCGATTCAACAGAAGATCGCACAAACTCGAGCTCCAAAAGGAGCAAGAAAAAAAAAAAGAAACAGTCTAGTCCGATCTAGCCAGGACTCGAACCTGGAACCTTTGCCACCGGAAAGCAACGCGCTGCCATTGCGCCACTAGACCAATAGTTGCTATGATGATTTCTTATTTGATTCTATAACTAAAGAAGCTGTGCGATGAGGTAACCCCCGTTCCGATTTTCTTCGAGCAATAGCCGAATATCTGCTAGTTGGCCTCGGCTATCGTTCATTCATTGTCTAAACCTGCCATTTCAAAGCAACTTCTTGAAGATTTGTGACTACTTTACAACTAACTGGTCCACAATGTCACTGCCCACAATGTCATTGTCTGTTGGAGCTTCCCTGCGGCCTGCGGCTTTTCGGTGCGTGTCTGCCGTGCGCATGCGATGCGCTTTTGGCACTTCGGCATTGCGAAGGAGCGAGAGCTCGACGACGCCGGGCGAGCTTGGGGTTGGAGAGCTGCAGGGCGCAACGTTTCGTGTTGAGCCACTCCGGAGGGTTGGCGAGGATGCCTCGACCATGCGGGCGAGACTTTTGTGTATGTGCTGAAAAGAAACCAAGAGTGTG